ACTTTTTTTTTTTTTCAGAGGAGCACAAGTTTTCGTATGCCAAGTTCTGGGTCAGGAATTTGCAAGACACCACAGAAGCAAATTGAAGGCTGTAAGAATTCTGAGGTATGGGCTGTTACAGGAGGTCATCACTAAATAAATCTATATTATTTGCAGGAAAATTGCTAGCAAATTTTAATGGTGTTTTGGGCCCGCCTAGTCTTAATTTGTACTTTTACTTATATTTACTGAACTTTTGTTTCACACTTACTTTTCTGTCTCACAGTGTTCATTGAAAAGGAAATAAAAAGAGATTTTATCGAAACAAACTTATCTACCAGTATGGCGTGAAGTCCAAGACTTAAGCAGCCAAACAGGCTTAGTCTGTATAATAACCAAGAATTGACAGGAAGTATAACTTTTTCCCATATATTGTTTACTAGCGATAAAAGAAAAAAGTCATGAGCATGTACGGACATTCACTTTTCCCTTGCATTTACAGAACGCTGTAGTCAATGGTTTCAAGGTACCAGCTCCGTCGCCTTGCAAGACGCCAAAATACAAGAAACCTCCGCCAGCCAAGATTGAACGGCGTGAGAGCAAGCTGTGGCGAGACTCCGTGGACGGAAACATCAAAGAATTGCTGAATGAGAAAGAGATGAGTCGGCAAGAAGTGATTCATGAACTGTTGCAGGGAGAGGAGGATCTTATACAAGATCTTCAGAACGTAAAGAAGGTAAGCAGGCCATCTTGAATTTTGCACCTTCACCTTCATTTTATTTATTTGTTTGTATATTGTATATTGCTCATTTTTACTTTGAAACAAAATTCTTGAGGGTTTTTATCCTGTAAATTTTCTTTGAGTTGGATTTGTATTTTGGCTACTTAAAACTATTTGACAAATGTGCTTAAGCAGAAATGCAATTGGTGTTATGCTTTTTAATCAAGAAATTGGTGACTGCATTTGGTGCAGTTAAAGCTACTGTATTCTGTTATTTTATTTATTATTTTAATGTATTGATTAATTAATTTTTTGTGTATGTTTTTGTGAATTGACAGTCAACAATTTGAAAATGGCTGAAAAAAATCACACAGACAATACAGCTGTTACAGATACTGGATATGAAAAATTTCCGTGCTTTTTCAACAAGATTAGATGGATTGACAGACCAGCAGACAGACTGAGAGATAAATGGGCTTAACTTAATCTATTTCTTTTGATTAGGTATACCACGATGGAATGAAAACACTACACCTGATGACTGAGGATGAACTGAAACAAATATTTGGCATTATAGAGGAATTGGTGCCAATACATAAAGGTAAATAATTAATTATCACAATCCCCCCCCCCCCCCCCAAAAAAAAAAAAAAAAGTCTTTGCGGATCAGACATTGAGAAATCTTTGCAAAAGACGTTAATCTGATACTTAATCTTGTAAATAATTTCATCATTTGTGCAATAACACTGGACTAGTGAAGCCCAAAAAGTAACTGATTTTAGTTGTTGTTTGTGTATTGCAGATGAAGTGTATCACATTGCAAAAAACACATATAAGTGTGTATTCTCACCCTAAATTAATTCATTTTTCATTTGAATTTTTTTCTGCAGACCTGGTGTCCAAGCTGAGCAGCCAGAAGAATACTGAGGGATCCATAGACAGCATAGGAAAGATCTTAGTGGACTGGGTGAGCCTTTTCACTGCTTCATTACTGACAGAGATACTGTCATGAAATAGAGTTTGAAATTTGTGCCAGCATGAGGAGCTTTTTTTTTTTTCACTCGCACATGCTCATTTGAAATAGAAGTAGAATTTTTTCCTTGCCTGTCATCCGCGTGACAAGCTTTTTTTTTTCACCTTGATGAGTCATTTTCAATTATATATTCAATATTATAGATAAGATTGGACTTCAAAAAAGTAGTCTCAGTTTTCTACATCTTCCCTAACTGGGAGATTCTGTATTAAAAAAAAAAAAAAAAAAAAAAAAAAAACAGATTATGGGCATTTGCATGCTTAATTCTCAAATTATGTGTTTAATTTGGATAAAATTTCCATGTA